CTGGCTACTGTGCTGCGATATCAAGGAAAGTACGATGAATCAGAGACGATACACCGGCATATACTAGAGCAGCGCGAGATCATTCTTGGACTAGACCACCCCCACACCCTATCAAGCACCAGCAACCTGGCTCTAGTGTTGGGAGACCAGGGAAGATACGATGAATCAGAGAGGATGCATCGGCTTGCACTGGAGGGGCACGAGAAGATTCTTGGACGAGACCACCCCCACACCCTAACAAGTGTCGATAATTTGGCTACTGTGCTGCAACATCAAGAAAGGTACAGTGAATCAGAGACTGTACACCCATGTATATTAGAGTAGCGGGAGAAAATTCTCGGACCAGACAACCCCCACACCCTAAGTAGTACCAATAACTTGGCTGTGGCGCTACAACACGAGGGTTGATGCGATGAACCGGCGGGCGCAGGTACCGTCGCCAAGTATACCGGACCCGACATAACCACGCTATGGGGACCATGCGGTCCTTTGTTTTTGGAGCACTACATCCTGCGGGAAAGACGATGGCTCGACCGATCAATCCACTATTTTTCTGACGTTTTGGGTGGGCTGCTGATGAGAGGAGAGTGTTACCAGTTTCTACCGGTGTGGGGATCCGCCGAGAATATAGGGGTACCGCAGGAATCTGGCAAGAATGATTAATGAGTGATGGGTACCGCGTTATTGGAAAATTGTTTACCAGGGGCGAGGGACACTTGTATGTGGAGGAAATGTTGGGGGTTTGGTCCTTCTCGTTACATTTCATGTACCATCGTTTTTTCTAATTTAGGCCGTGTATCAGTTCATGTTGGATGTAAAATGATAGCATGTATAGTACCTTTTCGCACGATTGGAAACATCCTAGCATACGCTGTGATACTAAGGAAAGTGTAATCGATCACCGATAATGAGTTAGCGTAAGCGGACCGGCACACGAAGGTCCTCACGTTATATGACTACACGACCTAGAAGTATTGACTATTGAAAGCTCAGTAATATTGCGTCAGAAGGGAAATTACTATAAAATAGAAGCCATCACTCGCCGCGCGCTAGAGCGCAATAAGAAATCTTTAGTCCCAAGCCACCTCACCACCCACAACGCTAGAACCCACTATGCCTATGCCTAGTGTCCCGGTGCTCTCGCTACGATCTGTTCGCGTTTGGGGGGGATTTCATCCACTTGACCTAGATAATACGAGTTTCACTGTTAGAGTTAAAACTTATTGTGAATCTAATCAGATATATTTATCCTAAAACTAATTATGAAGGAATTTTTTTTTGATGCATCAAGTTGGAATCAGTATTGTGTGAGCAGCCGGGATGTCAGGAGATCTCGTACTCATTCTTGTTTTTTTCTTCTCCATCAAGTCATTCATTATTTCATCATGGTATCCGATGAGAGGTCCGGTACTCCGTCTTTCCTTTCGGATCATCATTCGAGGTTATTCCTTTTCATCACCACTCTTTACTCTTTTGTGACTCTCTCTGTTGCCCCTTGTTAGAAGTGAATATACCGGTATCTACTCACTTCCCGCATATACTTCCCACACACTGCTGCCATTGTCTGCCGATAGGGTTATTACGGCCCTCGAGGGCAGGAAAAAGCACGGTGTGCGAAAACCACCTTTTAGCGAAGTAGAAACTAGCAAGAAGGGTGTTTGGTCCCTAGCACCATGAATTTTCCAGTTCACCTGTTTTAGAACCTGGGGAAATATCCTCAGGTGGAAAGAACCTAGCAGGGAGCTTGTGGGGTCTTCTCTGAAATCCTATGAGAACGATATCTCCCTATTGTGGAATGTAGGATGCCGATGATGGGGTTACAAGAGAAGCAATCCCAGCCTGGAGAGAGTGGTCAAGTGGAGGAGGAAGAGGTCTTTAATGGGCCAAGGTTTTGGTCATAATTGATCTCGCTGATCCTTTGCCGTTTGTCTCCTACTAAAATAAAGGCACTTTAACTAGATGTTAAGTACTATGGTAGTAAATGCATGATTGGATGTGCAATTAATCTTTGATATGTAATATCAAGCAGGGGCACTGCAACGGGTGCAATGGGATAGTGGTACCCGGAGGAGGTGACTGTAGTTTTCATATATGCTTTTCCAAGTAGCCAGGACAGGAGTCTGTATTATCCTTCTTCGTACTCAGAGAGGGCCGAAAGTCGGTCAAGAATAAATAGTGAATTTGGTAATTGCAGAATCCAATATATATGGGCGTAGAATCGGTCAAGTTGGCAGCGTGCTCTATATGAAGTTTGGGCGTTTGCATAATACTCTTATGGGCTTAATAATCCTTCCCTCTTTCAGGCTCGTGCTCCATACCATTTCTGGGAATTTCTGCGGGGTTTAGAAGAGTGCCTAGATTACTGAATTCGCACCTATTCTCGCAACTAGTTTCTGGCTAGAGTAAAGTGTGATTAGCACAGAACGTTAGGCCCGTGAATGCGAATTCTCGATGATTGCTGAAATCATGAGGTTTTTCCAAAAATGCTGGAAACTTTGTATAGCACCGAGTGATCACTGATGATCCTAAGTCGTGATGGAGATAGCAACCTATCGATTGTTTCACTAATAGTTCGTCAAAAGAGTTGACCTTGCTGCTTACAATTTTCCATGCGCTTGCTTTTGGCTTCGAATCGCTTCTTTACAAATTGGCCACAGGTTTACGCCTTTTCCATCTTCCCCTATAATTTTTGCACCAACCCTTTATCTTCACTGGTAAGATGTGTCGCGCCTTCTTTTTTTTTTTTCTCGTTCCGAGGATCAACCCCACCACAATTATTGGGAAACACCTCCGTAACATTTCCCATAGAACCGTAGGGTAGTTTGGGAATAAGTAGTAACGTGCAAGTTTCGAAATAGTCAAGATGTTAGACAATTCATTTAATTAGCCAGCAAAACCCGAGGGGGGCGTTCAGTGTTGTATCCTAGGGTTGAGGAAGCACTGCATGATGAGGATCAGGAAGGGAAGGAAGGGCGGGTAAGAAAGAAGGCTAAAGATTGTTTTCATTGCTCTTAGCCGCAGACTCCTAGCGAGGTTCTTGAGCGAAATAACGTCAAGCGAGGGTACAAGCGGCGAGATCTTGGGCACCTATCCCATCCTGCCTATATGCCTCCCCCTGCATTTAGATCCGACTCATCTCTACAACCGGACTCCGATGTGGACCCCACACATCCCCATCTATTTCTTAACTACTTGCTGTGATGGAGATGGGGAATGTTCTCGTTTTTCGAGGGAAGTCTGCTTATTAAAGAAGCTCTGCGAATGAGCCTGCCCACCCCCGAAACTCCCAGACCGGGCAGCAGATAAGGTTACAAGGAGGCCGCCTATATGTGCTCTCTATTCGGGTGTTCTAGAGTAGGTGAGATCATGAATGCACATTCGACTTATAATTTCCTTTCCAAGAGTGATTCCACTAGAGAGAGGGCGGGTGGGCGGTTGTCCTGCAGGACGTGGCTGTCTAGCGACACTAGAACAATGTTTGACTTTGCTGGATTTGTTCACAAACGAAATATCGTGCCGCCACCATCAGGAGAGCAACCTAGAAGGGAGGATAAATTCGTTTCGTAAATCAGCGCTGGGTTTGACCTGCAGTCCTGTAAAAACCCTCGCCCTCTACAAGAATTTGTGCCAGTATCATGGCTGATTATGATACCTTCCGATAAACAAAGACTCAAAAAATTTGCCCCCAACAGACAGAAAACAAGGGCTTCCGATGAGGTGAGGGTATTGTTTGTCCAATCGAAAAAGGTGACCATTCTAGCTCCATTTTCGTCCGGTATTGTATTCACTTTTTACAACAATGAACTCTACGGAACTTGTATCGCGGAGAAACACTTTCTAGCATATAGTAGGGTCTATGCTATTAAAATGCGCTAAAGGCTTGTAGTTTCTAAGGTCTTGTGAGTGAGTTGAAAAGACTAACTTTACAGGTTTCCGGAAGGCGCAATATCTCAAGGCGAGGCGTTACAGGGGAGGGACTAACTTTTAAACAATAATGGGGTTCATACAGCAGAAACGACTTCCAGTTGAGCGAAGCGAAGATGGACTTTTATTGATACGAGTAATAGCGATACGGCGGAGGAATCAAAAGACTGAAGAGACGAATAGTATCGTGAATTGACAATGAATGACTTCAACAGAAATAGAACCAATCGGTAAGGGTAAAGAGAGAAAGACAGTATTTTCGACGGATGATCATATAACAAATGAGCAAAGGAAATAAACAGCTTTATATCCAATGATCCTTCTCTCTAGACATGTTACCAGCACATGCGCGATTTCTCTCTTCCTGCTTGCTTTGTGAACATGTTCCCGAGGTATGGAGATTCGGGCCGAGGGTGTGGTTCGGTAGGTTGCTGTTTGATCCTGATACGACAAGTATGCAGGGTCAGTATCAGGTTCAGTATGAAGCTAAGACTCGTGGAACATCTCTTAAATGATAGGTGGTATGAGGTGTTTTGCTAGGGCGTTTCTGATCCTCCGAGGACGGGACATAGCATGTGTGGTGAGCAGCCAAAAATGATGAATGTCCAACACTAACAAACAGAGCGGCGCCACGGTGGGAGGAATAGGTCGAGACCCTGGTATTACTGGTATGCGAGAATAGTACTGTAAGAGACTTCGTTGCATCGTTCGTCCCTCTTCTCTCAAATGGGCCAAGGATAAAGACAGGAGTATGCACATAACAGAACCAAAGGATCCGGATCCTTCCGTAGGGCACCACACATACCTCTCCTCCCCCCATACCCGCATTCCTCCGTACACTC